GTTGGGAAACATGCTAATGTCAACAGTAACCAGTCATGTTTTCGATGACTCCACATCCCGAGTCAGACATTTGCTGAGACAGTTAAAAGCAAAAACACAGGAGTAAGATAATTCCGTGTTGCTGTCATCTGTTTGCTATCAGAGGGACCCATCTCAATGAGGTTTCCCAGCAGCCACCATGCCACTAATACCAAAAATGAAGAAACTTGAGGAACCAGTTTAAAACCTACGCAAGCGATTAATCGCTTTACTGACTGGTTCTACTCTCACCGGAGTCTCTGCAACACTTTCCTCAAATAACCAAAAACACACACAGACCTTGCTTATACTAAAGTACTTTAAATTAAAAGTTAAGTCACATAATGACAGATGTATATGTCCTTTGAAAGAAACAGAAGTTATTATACAAGAGGCTCCAATTAATCTCTGGCAGCAGTGAACCTGTTGCCGACTCTGTCTGCACTCTGTAACTTTACCTCCCAGACTTGGTGGCCCTTCTTTTCCACTTGACTAACTCCCTGCAACAAGACTGCTTTAATGCCAGAAGCTAACCCCTTCTGTCCCTCAGTAATCAAAACCTCTTTATTCAACAATGCCAGCATCTTAATCTGTGATATTCTCCAGCACAAATGCTCAACTGCCTTCTTTTTATGCTTACTCACTTGCCTTCACAGGCCATATCTCAGCACCCAAACGCTAATAATATCCCTAACAATTTTCCCCTAGTGATATTGCCAAATTCAAAAAGGACCACCTACCCCAAGGTCTAGACTCTGACTCCCCCAGAACCAGTGCCCCGGGACGCGGGTCAAAGTGGGGGACAGCTGGCAGACCTCCCAGCAGCCTGGAGGAGCGGGCTGACCTCAGTCAGATGGTGGTCTGGTACCCAGGTAAAAAACATCTGGTCCAATGATGGGAGGGTGGACGCACACACGCTCGCACACTCAAATCTGACACACGCCTGACTGCATGACTGCTCCTGCCTTCTCTAATGAACACACACTCACACACACACACACACACACACACACACACACACACACACACACACACACACACACACACACACTCTCTCAGACTGGCTCCTTTATTAGTCATTAGAACAAAAAGCTTTGCCCTCCATCAGCCTCCTCAGCAAATGATGGCCGGTGGCCGCCGTAGTTGCTAACAGCTGGCCAGACAGAGCCCGCTGGTAGCTGAAGCTCGCAGCCGTTACAGACGGATTGAGGTCCAATTACTTCTATAATGGTAGATTTACAGTGGCAGTGTGAGACAGAGAAAGTGTAAAAAAAAATGAAAGCAACAGATTGATTTATGCCTTTTTTTTTTTAGATAACAAGGCCGGGTAAATAAGATGAGATATAATACGTTGGCATTAAAAGATGGAAAATGGTGGGGAAGAAAACTATATTCAGGAAAATATTCAATGTAAAAAATTCTCTATCCATTGGAAAGTACCCAAACCATTCTGAAAGCGCAGACAAATTAAATATTTTCACCGCAGGCTATACGCTGCGATGTGTGTGGCTTCTCTATTCTCAAGTAGAGATAAGGAGAGTGGAGATAGCCAGAGACAGCTGTTGTCTGCTGACAGCACAGACGCACACACACACCCACACACGCACCCACACACACACATTACCACAAGGCCTCCCCGGGTGCTCTTTGGGGCTTAAGGGAATTAAAAAGGGAGGGAAGGGTAGGAGAGGGGAAGACATTCAGAGGGAAGTGTGATCACTTTCGAGCCCCAAACTTTTGGAGAGACAACCCCTCAACCACTAGTGTCACCGGGACCCCCTTTCATTCATTCCTTTTGTTTTAGCTAAACATATTGATGCTTACATGCAGACTCTCACACACACACACACACATTTCCGAGGTCTAACACAATAGACACAATACTGCAGAATGGATTCTACATAAAGCCTCTCACACACACACACACACACACATATAAATAATATAAATTCAACAGTCTTGGGATACATTTAAAAGCATATTCATATTCAGCATATTCAGTGACTCAGTAATTACATATTTGTTCGTCTTAATTGTATTGTCTTTGCATATCAGTATCACCTACTGTTGTTGCTTGAAATCTGTATGTAATAATAGACTTTTAGGAATAACAGCCGACAGAGTTTAGATTTTGTCAGGCCTTCTGTTTATGCAGACAGCTGCACATATCAGGCTACACTCAGCTGGCTGCTCGTGAAGTTGTTTAAAGTTCAGAAGCGTTCAATCCATGAAAACCCAGAAGCTTTTACTTTATTCCACAGTGACTTACTCAAACATAACTAAATAAATAAGTGGACAGTGACAGTAGTTGCTCAGTAATGGGGAATTCAATAAATTAAAGAAGAAAAGCACAAATAAACAAGTAAGGAAACATATGTAAAAAGGCAAACAAGTACAATATAATAATATATTGCTTACTTACATTTATACATTATTATTTTGGAAATGTTTTGTGGTTTTTTCAACTGAGATTGTTGTAAAACTATATCTTGTTTCTCTTGTGTACCAGGATGAACTCTTATTAATGATATTCTGCACCTAAATCACCATATCATACATAAAGCACACAGTGTTGGAACAGTCACGGAAATATTTTTTCTTTAAAATTGGCAGGTTGACAGAGAAGATGTCAATTAAGTCAGCTTTGCTCTGTACGCTAAGGCAAAACACAAAGATGTGTGTGTGGCTGAATTTGGGGTGTCGTACAAAAAGAAAAAACAGCATCTAACTGAAAGATATTCAACAGACTCACTTCAGTTCAGCAAATAAAACTAAATGAATGTCATCCGTCCAGCTTTTAATACTAGGATAATTCATTTCTTAGACTAAGAGAATAGATTGAGTATACCTTGAGACTATTATGGGTCAACATGAGAGCCCTGGTGTAACCTTGAGTTCAAGTCAGCAAGGATATTTGACTCCCAGAGAAAAAGAGAAAGGGAGAAGGAGAGAAAGAGAGATGAACAGAAGCTTAAAAAATGTCAAGAACTGTGCGGCTGCGAAGAAATATAATGACATTTGTGCAGATAAAGTCAGGAAGAGCAGAGCTTCCTATGAAAATATTTATCATTCCACAAACGTTTGGCTACAGAGGGGTTTGGAATTAATTTGTGTTTTCTTAAGAGGGGGTGCCTTGCGCTACAGGATGGGGAATTCTCCAAAGCCCGGGACCTTTTGGGCTGCTGCTTATTCACAATTTATTAGAGCTAGTAATAGGAACCATGAAGGAGCGAGAGGGCGAGAGACTGAGAGGGACCCGGCCTATCCTGGAGAGCGATTCCAGAAATGGGGCCTAATGTTATTAAGAGACGAACCGCAGTGTTAAATCAAACACGCCCAAGAACACACCTTCCGTATGTGGTCGGAGCCCCCCCCCACCCCTCTCCACCCCTCCAACAAGACCCCTGGATGGTATTTGTGGGGGTTAAAACGCAGGTATATAAAAAGAGATTTAAGGAGATTTATAATCTGTCTCTGACCTGAATCTGACACTATATCTAAAATAAAATAATCCTTTTTTGGTTGATAGTGACATATGTTCAGTTTACGCTGTGCAATTCTGAAAAGAGTGTGACATTTTTTGGAGCTGGTATATGGCACTTTTCACACCACAATAGTTAAACTATGTTTGCCCTGCAGCAAGGATGTAAACCCTCTGGTGTCCATCTATGCAAAACCAATAGTTGGAATGATACTAATTAAAACGTGTTTTCTGAAAAAAAAAAAGGGATTTTTGTAATGGTTAAAAATGAATAATAAATAAAGAAGATTAAATGTCATGACACAATTGTTACCATATACTATACAACAAAATGTAATGTCAGATTTATTTTTCTTAAAATCTATTTATTTTCAAAAACTAAAGGGCCCCATGTAATCGTTGCTGAAAGACATGTTTAAAAGGGATTTAAATGGTTGGAACAACATTGAGTTCGTTTCTCGTCTGGAGCCATAAAGGGGTCCTTGAAAAATATGAATACCAGCCTTTGAAAAATGCTTAGCGAGGCTCCCCTAATTTAGTTAATGAGGGTCCCTGCATGGCGGCTGGGGGGGTGTCAGTGATTTCAGTGTAATCTTCTGTACTTAGGCCGAGCCAAAAGTGTTGCACCGATTCAACCAGCACCAAGAAAAACAAAGGAGCTCCATCTGAGAGAAGGTGCCTCACACACAATTCTCTTTTAAAGGCTCAGTGAAACACAAATGGCTGACATGTTGATGTTGGGATTATAAGGTTTTTCTGCTCTTATTAATGACTACAATAAACTGGGTTGAATAAAATAACTTGAATACTGAAGAAGAAAATAATTTACAATATCTTCAGTTACAAGCACAACTCTGAAAATTAAAATGTCCCATCTACTTTAACATTGGTCTACATTTGAATGCATTACAATATAGTTTGTCTATCTATTTAATTTGTATCCAATAGGCAATTGGTGTCTAAATAAGGATCATTTAATATTCAAGGATTAATTTACAATTTGTTAAATCCATGCATGTCTGGCAGTTGTTGTTGTCTCAAATCCTTTACATGTTGTAATGTATTTGTATGTATTGTAATGTAATATATGTAGCACACCATTTCAAATTATGTCATTATTATACAAGTCTTATTTGAAAATGTATTGGAAATGCCAAAGGGAGTAATTCAATTAAATTTGACATATTTTGATTTTGGTTTATTTTTCTATAAACGTACCATAATTGTACGTCCGTCTTAATCATAGATTTAATTTTTTTAAAAGACACACAGCAATTAGAAGCAATTATCCTGGTTTTAAATGTTAATTACATGTAATGTTTATTTAAAGGATCTACTAAAATAAACACCAACAGAGCTGAAGAGCAGCGACAGAAGGATGAACACGTAATGATATTTTATTAAATGATTTCGCCACAATAAAACCCCTCGAAATCGCGTACATTCGATGGCATGAACAAGATGAATGTATATAAAATATACCAAAGTATTTCACACTTACCATAATTCAGAGAGAAGATCGTGAAGTTGAAAAAATCCGAGTATCAATCAGAGCAGATGCCTCTCCATGCCCAAGAGACACTCGCAGACTTTTTTACAAGTGTCCCGGCAAAAATAAGGGACAACGTGAGCGCTCTTCAAAAAAAAGTGGAAGAAAAAGAGGTAGAAGAAGCAGAAAAGGAGTCTCCAGGTGCTGACAGCTGACAGCTCTCTGCAGACACTCACTCACATCGATCTCACTCCTCTTCCTCTGCAGCTTCAGGAGCGTGTTTGCTTTCCCGGCGATGGGAAGTGATGTTAAGTAAATGAGAGAAGATTTCTGGTTCCTCCTCCTCTCGAGACCTGCGCGCGCTGCACGTAGCCCCATCGTGTGTGTGTTTGCGTGCGTGTACGTCAGTGCGCGTGCCCTTATCTCAACCACTCCTCTCAATTATTCCCTCAGTAGAACTCAGCTTCTTCTTCGTCTCTTTAATCTCCCTTTTAAATCTTTGTTTGGTCAAGAGCTCGTCTTCGTTTGTTTACACAACGACCCGCACTCCATTGAGTCCTCCTCTCTGAAGCAGCGGACCCTCTGTATGCACTCCAGATAGGAGGATTTGTTAGTTTGTGCTAAATAACTGCAGGCTATTGACTGCTTTATAAAGAGTGTTTGTTATCTTTTACTGTGTGTAAGTGTGGATGTGTGGGGGAAGATCCACTATTTACATTCCCATCTAGTTTAATATCCTACTTCACACTGTTTATTTAAACGATATAAAACTAACGTGGCAGGTGCAATTTCTCACCTTGAACAACTACAGCCACCTTTTGCAGAAATGTTTTACATTGCTATCTTTTTTATAGACCCTTTTTTAAAGGCAGAAATACATTAAGTGCTGGGAGAAGTATTACACATACTTAAACTATAAGTAAACAAATAAGTAAATATACATAAAATAACACAAATTCATCAAAACTGACTATGTATTAAAGATCAAAATACTCAAAATGCAACAAAATTCACACTGTTGATGATTGGGAAAATAGACCTTTTATATTATTGGTGAGTATTATAGGTAATTCATAAGTATATACGCAGTTTTAATGATGTAGCAGGTTGTAGCGACATATTTGAAAGATATGATGGTAGGACGTTTTTATGCATCATATTTGAAAAGCTGGTAATTCAATTCAAGTTTATTTATATAGCCCAAAATCACAAATCCTATTTGTCTTCACAAGTCAATATATATTTTTTATTTTATAAATCTAATAGTGTAAAATATTTCCCTGAATGTGCAATTCAAATGACTCAAAACCCAGACTAGAATAAACTGAATGTAATTTTCACTGCTGATTATTTTTTGAACCATTTTAGAAAGGTAGGCTATTAGATATCTCTTGAATATGGCAAACAAAAAAAAGTAAGCTGGTTTAAATATTACAATACTGTAAAATACTCCATTATCAAGCTTCCTTATACATTTGCATGTGATGCTTTATTTAAATATAAATCAATATGTCTTTCAAAGCCCCCAAACCGTTCTGGAAGCTATAGCATTATATATAAACTGTACAATTTCTTTCTCATATAAAAAAAAAATAACTGGCATTATAAAGCCATTTTTACATGAATTCTTATATTTTCATTTTTAACCCATGGCTTAGAGCACATCACCTGCTCCTGGTTGTGTACATGGGAAATGTCAAAGACCTTTCAAGGTTACCAAAACAGGTCACGTGGATGTGTCGTCTTTACAACACCTGCTGAACTGAAGCAAAGCAATATTTGAGTTTTGTCTGCCTGAGAGTAAACATCCAAAATCCCCCTTAAAAGGAGGAGGCACAATGCAGGTGTCTCATCCTCTGCCTGCCTGTTTGTTTAATAAAATGAGAATATGTGAGTGTTCTGCCTGCTTTATGTGTGCCCAACTTGTATGCCATTGTCTTCGTGTGTATTCTGTAACATGAGGAAGAGTGTCTCGGAGCGGCAGCAATGACTCAGGAGGAAACAGGTTCTCCTGAGCGGGGGGACAACAGGATGCCATGGCTGACACCATCTCTACACCCGCAGTCATGGATATGTGAGGGCACCTGGGGGAGATTCTGGCAACTTTGCATCTGGGCTAGTGTTAGCATCACTGACCTTTCAGAGTTAAGGAAAAGAACATCCTCGAGTGAAAAAGGGCTTTAAAAATCCGGATAACAACATGTGTTATGGGTGAAAAGATAAAGGCAGCATGAGAAAGATAGATGCAGGAACTAACCACATCTTGGATATAATATAAATCACAACAAGGCATAAAAATACCTGTCAAACATCTATTAAATCCAGTCAGATAGATATCATGGGTACTAATTGTGAAGGCGATAACGAGAAAACAAATATTTAAATATAATACAAATGGAGGCAACTGGTTTTATCGCCTTGACCCAACTATCATCAATAATTACTTCCAAAATTACTTAAAGAAAGTCCCTAAACATGATGCAATGTTAGTTGTAACAGTAATAGGGACAACAATAAGGAAAACTACAGCACTTACTCAACAGCTAGGCTTGAAGCAGTTCATCTGGTCAATTGATGAAACTTTCATTGGTGAAACTGCCTTATGTGTAGTGAAAGTTATGAAAATAAGTTGTTGGTCTTTGAGTATGTAGGAATACAAAAACGTAATGTTGATCATTTTAAACCTGCATTCTGCAATTTATGTTTGACGATGATATTCAGGGCCATTGCAGGAAGTAGTGAGGTGTTACAATGGGGCGCCAATAAGTAGTCTGAGGTTCCCAAACGGGGTCGAATTGGCAAAAAAAACAATACAACAAGGTGCAATAAAAAAAAGTGTATTATTATAAAAACATATTGAATATGAACTTCTCTAAAGCTTAACATTGGACAAACTTACATTTTTGTACATTTCAATATCTTCTTATTCTATATATTATATCAACTATATTTAGCGACATTTTATTTTTTCCCTGTGTTTTGGTTCATGTGCTGTAAAGTCGGAGTCAAATTGCAATTATCATTATAGATTAACTTAAATATATAGTTTTTTGCAATCCCACAGGTGCTCCACAGTTATGTTTCATTATCACCAAGAAGCACATGACACATGCACAAAGCTGCCATCAGTAAATGCGTTTTTTTTTTGTTTTGTTGTGGGTATTTTTAATATCAACAGCTGTGACCTTATGAACCCAGTTCCAGTGATATGATGAGTTATGATCACCGGAGGTGTTGCAAGCGCTCTTTCGAAAACAAATACCTAACATTTTACTTGTACCAATGAAACCATTTGATGAGAAGTGTAGTCGCATGATTATTTAAGGAACAATGTACAAACAAATATAACACATTATGGAAAAACACTTCTTATAATACAGCACCGAGGTACCAAATGACAACGAGTCTGGGAAGTACCGTGACCCAGACACGATGAACTAGTCTGCCTCAGGTTCAAACAGCAGGCGGGACGCCCAACTCTTTTCTTCCACAGGAATGTGCGGTGGAGAAATAAAAGCTGCCATTGTCTCCCTCTTCCTCTGATGGGCTCAGTGTGTCTGTCCCTTTGCCAGCTAGCGGTATCCGCTGACACACTGTTACTGTCACTATGTGTCATCAGTGTTCCTCCCATCAGACTACAGGATAAATGTTGCCCCTGAGTTTGCTGGGGTACGTATTTATGTCAGGGAGGAAGTGTCATCTTTGATTATTGAGAAAAATCTGTCATGAAGTGTAACTCGGCGAAGCGGTTCCAGGTTTTAAGTTTAACGTTTTGTTGTGTGGAACGTTGATGTGAATGTGACATAAGCATTATTATTCTCAAATTGAGGAATACTGAGAGTCTTGGAAAGCGGAAGGAGAGAGAATATAAACACAAGGAGCGAGTGAATGTAATATTATACTTTGCACGGCTTATGTGCAGGGAAGCAAGGGCCTTATAACCACCACATCTGCGTTTAGATGCTCCCTATTCATCCCCCAAAAAGCATAAACCATAGCTTGCCACACTGCAAAAGCTCCATAGCATCACTTCCACGTTTAAAATCATATTACTCTCTCTGCAGAAAACCTAAAAACAAATAAACCTGCAGCGTCATACTGTAGTCTCCTTCTCTCCATACAATTCCTCAACATCTGCTAACTTGGTCTTAAAGATAGGGAAAGTAATGCAATTTAGAAAATGTTTTTGGTCTATTTGTTGGAATACTCATTACATGCTGATAACAATCAATATATCAAATGCTCTGGGTTGACCTGCCTGTCTACCTGCACGCAACAGTAACAGTAACCATTTTTATTCATTATCAGGTTACGTTTACGTTCATAATGATAACTTTGGGGACTGGTCTTGGAGAGGAATGGACAGGCTTTCAATGTTGCCAACTTGGCTACTCTTTGGCTAATGGCCACGTGAATGGCCACACGTTTAAATCCTTGTTTTGAGGGGATCTTGAAAGTCATTCTGGGAAATGTGTTTTTGACATACTGGCAGGCAAGTGCAGTTGTGGCACTAGGGATTGAGTTCTGCTAGAAAGAAACACAGTAGTACTGTTTTGTTGTCTGACCACGTCTGAAGGCCAAAGTGTTAACCCACCACACTCCAAGGTAGGTGACAAGCCTGAGGGATGAGGCACCATTTTGTTTAATTAGAGGGAAAACTAAATGTATGTTAATTATTTTTTTTCTATTGGAAGGCATTCAAAGTGGCAGAAATAGTTGGCCAATGGATGGGAAAAGGTGAGAAGAGTTTATTTAAACCCTACTTACTTTATCATGCCTGCATGCCTGGCTAATCATGTGTTTAGTGGGTGTGAACGTCAGTTGTTGGTTTAGAAAGAGAACCGCCTCCCCCAATACCGATGTTGGAAAGACGCGTGGGCGTTGTGAAGCTGTTCCATCAGACAAACAGTTCTGATGTTTATTTCTTTTCAATAAAACCTACATTTCTTAAAAGCAGAAGTTTGTAGTTCTCAAATACAAGTAGAGACGTTACCTTGAGAGTACAGGAGGCCGCTCTTCTAAGAAAGCATTCTTCCCTCCCTCTGTCTCTAATAAACACACCCAGCATCCCTCCATTCCTCCCCACTGGGACCAGTGATGGAGCAGCCCTCCCTCCCAGAGAGACAGCTCTCACCCAGCCTGCTTATGTGCTGTGCGTGTTATTTAACTGACCCTGGCCTCCGACCGTACAGCGAGGAGGCCCATCAGGAACACACGCATGTGTAGGGAGGGGTTGTTTTCCAAATGTAATATATTACAGACCTCCATTGGATGAAAAAGTCCA